TATGAAAGCTTTATAAAAACAAAATGCAATAAACTCTAGGATACTAGCAAAATTAATAATTAGTATATATCTAAATGCCTTTTAGATATTATATAAGTTAAAGAATTCAAATTTATATTTATTTATTGTAAAATAAAATAATAATTTGTAATGTTAACTTATATAATTTCCATTCTTTGATTTCTTGTTTTGAATGATACAAAAATGTATATTTATGTTATTAAAAAGCATTAATAAATATACTTTTTTCGTACAAAAATTTTGTATGGATATTACTATTTCGTTTTTTTAATAATATAGCGTACCAAATAAATATTGACGCAAGAATTATATAGCCGTCTAATCGATTTAAAATTATTTTTATATCCCTGAAAGCATATGTAACGCAGGACACATAATACACAATATATATAAAATGTTATATATATGTATATATATATACATATACGTTTACATGGGCATGTGTGTGTATGCGTGTTTTCATATGAAATTGTATTGTGTGTGATAGAAATGTTAGATCTTGCACATATGTTAAATTCGAAAGGTACAAATTTAAAATAGCTCACTTTTCACTCTATGCATGGTCACGGTGTTACGTAAACGTGAAGTAATAGGATAACAAGAGTGATAAACAATAGGAAAGCGAAGTAAGATGTAATAACATTGAGCACTGATGGCGACATTAGTCATTAGTATTAGATATGGCCATAATATTGTCACGGTTTTTCGCGACGTCGGCCATAAACATGTAGAGAACTGACGTTTAATGGGATTAATTCGTTTATGTTAGTATTATAAAAAATTAGAAAATTGATCACGTATACACAGCAATACTTTCAAATATACAGTATTTCTAAGTCTTATTGCAAATAAACAATGCAGACGAATAAATATAAAGAAATTTAACAAGGGCGCTTCGTGCAGCTGTACATGCTACGTTTGCAAAATCCAGTTTTAAATAAAAAATGTACATATAATATCAATTGTAAATATAATATTGTAATTTTCTGTATTTCATATTTTATTTTATATATTATACATATGTATAGTTCATTTTATTCTATATTTTATTATAGTCTCAATATGAAAACTCTTCATTCTCTAAAATACTGGAAAATTCCGTGAATAGATTTTTCACGCTCTTAACTCTAGAAAATCTATTCTACAAGGATAGCACGTAAAATTCCAATATGTAACAATATTTATATAACCGCGAAAACAAAAATAGGAATTTTATCTCTGTGCCTATAGTACAAACACTCACGACTCAGTCGACACTAACGAAAAGTAAGATAAAATCTATGTTATAATTTCGCACTCAACACTATAAATGTAATATAATACATGGTGTTATATAACTGTTATATTGTTGAATGCGAAATTATAACATAATGTTATGTTACTTTTAGATGGGGAGCATGTAACTGGCACAAAAGAGCGATGCAACGATCTGACAATGAAATACGCACGTGTTGAATGGGGCCGCGCGAATGGCGTGTTTCGCAGCATCCCCTAATTACCTTCTCATTCTCGCATACAACCGAAATCTCGCGAAATCTTGTTTTGCACGAGTCTGAACGCGCGAGCACGCGTGCTCTATTCGCACGAGCGAGTGTAGAGGAAAGAAAACAAAAATTGCGACGGCCGACGTCTCAATTCCGAAGCAGGCGAGCTGCCGATCGATGCTTGCTTGTGCAACAACCAATCGCCTTTAACGAGATTCCGCCGTTTTAATTAACGAGCGCGCGAGCCAACATCGTTCGCTCGCTCATTCGCGGTAATCACGCGGGACGAAGATGAACGACGGAGGACGCGAGCGTCGTCCGATGAACACATCACGGCGCACACGTGTACGCATCAATGTACAGGTATAAGACGTCGGTAGCCGTTTTATCTTACAAACGCCAGCACCGATGTTGTTTCCGGTACGACGGCGTTCTTCGTGAATCTCTCGTCCTCTCGTGGTACATACATTTGATAGCGAGAAAGTTTCCACGAGACGAAATTTAAAGAAACTAATAGTGTAGTTTTTATTTTTTATTATTTACCTTTTTTTTTTTTAAAGATAACGGAATAGCCACTTTAACAGACTACAGGTACATACATACAAGATATAAATTCAAGAGACTTGTATAATTTCAATTCTTATGAAAATTAATTAAAAATTTTAAAGACGGAAATCTTGTTGATAATCATGGTATCATTAAAAATACATTTTGAATGCTTTGCTTTTAATTTTTTTCTTAAGACATGTGATTTATTGTCTTTGTAATTTTTTAGTATATTTACGTTTTGTAAAACATATGTTTTACACATATGCAAAACATATATTTTATACATATGCATAATATTATGCATATGTATAAAAATTGTATAGTTTTAGCTTAAAATCTTGATTTTAATTTTAAGTTTGAACGGCACGTGCTATCCCTTTATTTACGATAGCGATACTCATACTTAAGAATTCCTCAAGGACCTATCTTTCGCAAATGAATTCGCGAAGAGTCATCACGAATGTCGAGAATTTCGGGGAGACGTTTTTTTCTCTGCGTTTCGGTTCTGGATTCTCACAACTGTCACGAACGATTTTCGCAGTCGTTTTGTTCGGTAACGTAACCGCCGAACACAGCTTCGCTTTTAAGGCGGAGTTACGGTGCGATTTGTAGACCCGTTCGCGACCAGTAGTGCCTTTCTGGAATTTAAGGCAGGCCTCACGAAGGACACACAGATTCATGATCCGGTAGACGAAGAATCGTTCGATTCGTGTAGCTCCGACTACGTGTCAGGCGATTGATACTTTGAGATTTTCATCAAAGAAAAGCTAATGACAATTATACAATGAGATTGTGCGTACTTATTTGTAAGACTAAAAGTTGAAGTTTTATATCGAATTATAATACCAAAAATTAAATGTATATTTAACTAGCGTTTATCTGGATAAAAACATAATTAATAATATGTAATTATATATATTAAGTTGTTCAAAAAGTTGAAAATTAAAGATCGATAACATACGATAATTATCGCTCCCTTACTCTGAAAGTAACACAACTTAAAAGATTAAGGGCCATCATACACAAAATGACATAAGCTGCATAAAGCCGCTGGACCAATGAGCATTTTATATAAATCGATATGACGTTTTTTTATGTCGGATGCTCATTGGTCCAGCGGCTTTATGTTGTAGTTATGCAGTTTACATCATTTTATCCTTAGTTTCTCAGAAAAGAAGAAAAACTATTTTTCTACTTGATAGAAAAATATTGACTAGTTAAATAATAGGTATCGACAGAAAGAATGTTCATTAATATGATAAAATGTCATTTTCATTTCACAGCCCTTAAAAAATCACTTTTTTAGTTACGATTTTTTTTAATCACTTTTTTCAGTTGCTATGATTTTGATGATAATTTATAAGGTTAAACAAGTTTATTTTTTATAATTGATAGGTAAATTTTACTTAATTTATTCATAATAATAATTCGGAAATTACATTTGTTGAGTTGTGTCACTTTTGAAATAAGAAAACGATATGTTCTCTCAAGAAAAAGCGATTTTAATTTTATTATAAAATGTACAATTGGAACACAATATTTGATATTAAAATATTTTACGTAACACTTGAACCATTATAAAAATAAAATTGTACTTTATTATAAATGATACCAAGTGCTGTATAATGTGTTCTTTTAAATAGGTATTCTAGAATTTTATGTCTTGTGAATTGCATTCACATGGATTAGGATATATTATACATATGAATTCATGTATATAAAATTCATATTTTTAAATATGTATTATCATTCTTTTTCACATTTGTTTAATCGCCATTCCAAACTCACATTACTTATTTCGATACTGTAATATTGTGTTGTATAATTGTAAGATATATATAATTTTAACGTATTGATTAGTTATCGTTAATCACTGTTAACATTGCGTCTCTCATTAGGCACTTCTTGTAGATCGAATATATAGTCAATAAAGGCCAGTAATGTACCAGCAGTTATAAGAAATCGTTTTATCCCGAACATGCTTATTGTATTTATTTCAATATTTTAGTCAAACGTAACTGTAATATGTAAAACATCTCGTATACATCATTAGACAGCGAGGACAATCTGTAAATAAATGATCAGCATATTTTGTGGGAACGGGACCGGGGCCAGTAAGTACTTATTTGTATTATACTGATGTAGGTATTATATAATAAAAATATTATTTTTTTATCACTTTGTAAGATATAATATAATCCGTTTATATAAAACACATATCCATTCCTTTAATTTAAGCAATAAATATTTTTTCTGTGAAATTTACGAATACTTAAAATAGTGATTTTTTTCTCCTAGTTAAACAATTATTACATATCGAGCGTAATAAAAGACAGAAAATGATTTGATATTATATTATTATAACATACACAGAAGTATTTTTCAAACACATGTTAGTAATATTGAATTTAAAAAATGATAAAAATGTTCTAATACTGTCTAATTTCATAAAAGGTATGTAGCATTACTTTGTTGAAATATCGTATTACAATTTTGTCCCTAAAATCAATATAAAGGATTGAATCTCACATTCTGATGATATATACGCGATAATTCACAGCAAAAATCCACGGAATATACGGTTGTCTAAGTTAAATTTACAAATATAACTATTTAACGTGATAATGTCAGACGACAGATGGCCGTATTTAGTCGTAACTACAATATGAATATTCAAATAGTGTGCCAGGAATATTCAAACGATTTCACGAGTACGTCCTCATTGCTTATACTTACGTGTACAACATGTTTTTTGCAATGTTCTATTTGACGAATACAAATCTCTTACGTATAATTCTGCAAAAGTAGTACGTTTGTACTTTCTTCTATCGAATATTTCTCGTATAAGCACAGAATCATAGAACTGTTATGTCTACGATTTCTCGATAATCAGATGCCGACGTCGAATGAGTATTACGGAAGTACTAAGAAAGTAGGCTTGACATTTATTCGAGAGATACAAAAAGTGTAAGTATATATATATCTGATATAAGTAAAACATAATTATGAAGATACGAAGATAAAAAGTAATCAGTCTTTGCTTATGCCGCTGCTTGTGTATGTATGATTATAAAAGTACGATTTGTGTGATGAATTATCGATATAATTATTTTTCGGCGTAAAATATGAAATAATTTTCACAAACGGAGAGTAAATCACTATAATGCAAATATTTATTACAAAAGCGATGTATATGCAAATGAGTTTATCACAGCAACTCATTTAATGATTGGATTTCGGAGCAGGATGACTTGGGGTGAAAACCTCGTAGTCGATTACCGAAAAATGATAATCTCCCATAAGTAACTGATTAGATGCGTGATCTCCATCGTAACTATGTGGGAGATTGCTGTAGCTTTCCTTGTTGACATTGCAGTTGCTTGCTATAAGTAAATCAGCCCCGGCACCAAATATCGGCCCTATGCTGTAAAATAGATTACATTAAATCAAATTAACCTTGAGAACTCTATAGCGATGATCTTCTGAAAAATCACGATGGTTCGGTTCTTACTCCGGATGATAGCAGATAGCAAATGATTTCTTCACGATGTCGAACTTTGTCGGCGGTACATCTTGATTATTTGTCAACGTGAAAAGAAAACTCTTTTCCGAAGCGATGTACTGCGCCTTCGAGTTAGTTTTACCCCATGGAACATCGCTGAATCCTCCGCATATCTCACCACGTACTCCCTGAGACATAATAGAACGCACTTTGTAACTAGTACAAGAAAATCTGGATGGAAATTTTGTACTTACCAGCACTATCACATACGTCGGACAAACGTTATCACAGTGTCGATGAAAAGACGCTGCTGAATAGCCATGAGTAGATGCTCTGAAAGCAATGCATGTTATTAATGAGAGAAATGTTGTACTATTTTTTTTGTAGAACATCTATCAATTGCTTATATAAATTGAAGGAGCAAAATTTCTTTTCAATCTATTTTCCAAAATTGCCTTCTGTTCTCCAAAACTTCAACATCTTCCCTGACCCATGCAATTATCTGATTTTAATATCGTATGTAGTTTATTAAAGAGCAGAGTGAAAAATAAATTTTCTCCTCCAATAATTAATTAGAAGATGCTCTGTATTATTATACTGTCTGCATATAATGGAATATATTTTATTTTACAAGTTCCACATACTTCGTCACAAGCGTCAACATCTTCTGTACAATTTCTACAATTATGTAATCAATGTTCAAAATTGATGCAAGCTATATACAGAGCACTGAAAAGAAAATTATCAACGCGTACTGAAATATTCAAGAGATAGAAATAAATTTACAATATTATTACCGGTCATGTTATCTGATATTGTTACTTTTAAAACATTTTCTACTTAATATATTCTTAAAACCTACCGATAAACTAATCGCCAGCCCTGTTTCGACACGCCGTACCACTGATTCAAAACCCGCTGGAAACCGACCTTGTCTCTGGAGAGAATCTGCGAGCCCGGGAAGAGAAACGGGCTCACTCGTGGTTGCAGTCGTTTGTCAGAGCAAACCTCCGAGTACTTGTTCGGCAGAGCTGCATACCTATACCTAAAGCGAAACGTCGAGATCGAAGGCGATACCGCCAAACGGTGAGTGCCGCCCCGTTAGATCGTACCTTAGAAATTTCGAGCCGCTCGATCGATCGGGATTGAAAAATTCGTACCTCTCCAACGACATCTCTATCGGCACCGCACCGGTTGGCTCTACCTCCTCCGCGAACACCTGGCTGTCAATCAACAGCAATCGTACGTGATTTATTACACCAGACAGGTGCTGGCACACTCTCATGCGCTCTTCTTCAGTCCAGTGCTGCGTGGGCTGCGTAACTCCTGCCTAAAAGTGTTTAATAAAATTAATTCACAGTCGAGAAAGTTTGCCTAACTTCTAATAAATAAATTCGGAGCACTTCAAAAAAGATAAAATAGAACTTTAAAAAAAGCGAACCTGATATTTGGCCCAATTTAGAACCGCTCGCCATACATCTTCTTCTTCCAAACCGAGATAATCTGACGATATCAATTTTACTAAAGCATCCTTTGGAAGATTGCAAAACGCCGTTGTCTTCACTGTATCCATGGCATTCTCACCGATAAAAGCGAAACATTTCTCGATAAAAGATGAGCAAGCAGCTTTCCCGCCTGAAACACAAGAATAAGAATAGAAAAAAAAAGTAACAAAGAATAATTTTATAATTTAAAGCTTCTCCCACTAAATATATTACTTAAAATTAAATAAAAGTTGACTGATTAAATTTGATTGATCCGTCTCTTAAAAATAAAATCACTAAAATAGTATCGAAATAATAAAATTACTAAAAAAATATTAAACTTTATTTAATTTTATTGCCTTTATTTATAATTACAGTATTCATAATTATAGTAGTATAAATATCGAAATGAATTTATAATTTTTGGGATAAATTAAATAAAAACTAATTTTCGGAATTGATGTAAATAAATCTCAATGGTTAACGAAATTTTTCATTAAAAATTTTTTCAAGAATTTAATGATATCTTTCTCACACATAATATACAATTCAAAAAATTATTCCTATTAAGAGTGAATAAATGATATAAGTATTATTCTCATTTTTTATATACTGTCTTGTAAAACACATTTTATGATAGTTTTTATTAAATTACATTATTTGATAAGCATACGTTTAAATATTACTTTTATAGATATATGTCATTACATTATCTCTCTGTACTTTTCTATATAAATCATTTTTTAAGATCAATATTTATAAATGTTATAGGTAAAAATAAAGAAAATGCTTTAGAATACGAAACTATTTTAATAATTGTTAATATACATTTTAGTCATCTTGGTTATCTTTTCATATAATACACGTTCAGAGTAAGTCACAAAAATTCTACTTTATGATGAACATATTGACATTTATATTCTTAAACAGCACACAATATTACATACAATTAAAACTAAATATCTGTATGCATAAGATAAATTAGATAGTGTGCATTCACATAAAACACCGAATGATCCTTTTCTCACAATGGGATTTAATCATATCTCGCATTCGTTAAGACTCAAGACACACATAATCAAAACTTGTGTCTACTAATATTCAGGTAACAAATACAAATTCTCCATTGATATATTCATCTATCACGCGATACATTTCTTTTCGCACGCCTAAAGAGTTATCGCAATATTAATAATCTCCCTGAGAGTTTCTCTCGTATAGTCCAAGAAGAGATCCCGAATTCGGAGCCGGCCTTACCCGGCGCCCGCCAAAAATCGACGCCGGGTCGAGGTTATGTTCTTCCTTAGTTCGCAGTGGGATTGGTGTTTTGTATCAGAGTGATATTGTCGCCTTTCAGCATAATACGACCCAGCGGCTTCCTGTTTTTCGTCTTCTGATGATATTCTTCGGCATCGTCCAATACCAGGTTCATGTACTCGTCGAAGCCGACAATGTGTCCCTCGATCCGCAGGTTAACGTTCTCGAACAACCAGACTTGCACGCGAGAGCGATTTTGCAAATAGCGAAATATCAAATTGATGGGCTGCACCATCACCTTTTGAACTTTTTGTGGCCCTTTGTACGACATTTTTGCGTCGGTATTTAAAAACTGGGTGACAAACAGCAAGCAATATACTCTGTAAGAGTACTCCGAAATGCTTCGTAAACGTGTAACGCCGATAGTCGTCAGTCGGAGATTAAAGAATGTGGCGATTATGGCCGATGGCGTCGTTCGTTGGCCAGGTTGGCCTCGTCAAGTTTGCCAATAATACCAACGTAACAATGATGCCAACGTAAGAATGATACCAACGTAACAGTGCTGCACGACTCTAGTCACTTTCGATTTCACAAAAATTTCACTACGATATATCAAAAAATTTCATTTTTCGAACAAATAATTATGATTAACGAAATAATTACTTTGACTGTTTCTGGCATCTACAAAAATATATTATTTCGACGCTAAATAAGTATTGCGAGCTATTTTGAATTTTAATACATCGAGAATTACAAATTATCATGTAACGGTGATGCATCTGTAATTATATAGTATTTATTTACGAAATATTAATTAAAATTCTGACAACATCAAAAATAAATTAATTTAAACGAAATTATTAATTACAGATCTTGTTGATATCTGTGATATCTTCTATTATCTACCGTCATCTCGGCGTCTCTAAAATAGCATTATTTAAGCATCAGTGATTTGTGTTCTCGTAAGATAGCGCCACGTAATACCAAAATGATTCATGTGTAACCCCGGATCTACAATAGATTTTTAAGCCTAAAGGGCTTCACACATGAAATGCATAACAGAGCATAAGCATAACATAAGACTGCTGGACCAATGAGCATCTAGCATAATGTCGCTATATTGATTTACATAAGATGCTCATTGGTTTAGCGGCCATATGCTGGATTCACACTGCATCCGATTTGCGTCGTACGATGCTCTGCAACCAATCGGAAAACAGGATTCCGATGGATTTTGCTTGGTACATCGGAATCCTGTTTTTTGATTGGCTGCAGAGCGTCGTACGACGCAAATCGGATGCAGTGTAAATCCAGCATTATGCTCAGTTATGCTTTTCATGTGTGAAGCCTTTAAGAGCCATTCCACACAACTTGCATAACCATATGCATAAAGAAAATTATCGAATCACATTTTTGTCATAAAGACAAACATAAAATATGATTGGATGATTTTTTTATGCATATGTTTATGCGGCTATGCAAATTTGTGTGGAATGGTCCTTAAGGCTGCAGCACACACTTTTGCATAACGCATAAGCGAATCAACTAATCAGAATCTTTCCTTTCCTCCCATTCCATGGAAAAGAAGAATTTTAATTGGTTGATTCCTTTATGCACTATGCATTATGCGTTAAGGTACAATTTCATGCAGCGCAGCTTTGCTGGCGAAGGGGTGATCCCGATTGATCACGGCTCGATTGGACACCACCAATCACAGCGACTAGATGCCTAGGAGCTTTGTAGTCTCAAGCGCTGTGAGTGGCTCGTGTCCAATTGAGCCATGTCCAACTGGGTGCCACCCGCTAGCGAAGACCCCCCACTCCGTCGATTCATGCGAAAATGCGTAGCTAGCCAAGCTTAGCTCAAAGTTCAATACTGTCCAACTATGAGCGAAGCAACGCTGACTCTGGCTGTGGCTCACTTAGGTCCGTTTCCACCAACGCAGATCATCTTTAATCTCGGTTCAACTTACTCTTTGTCTTTTTTTAGTTCTAAAGATTAGAAAAAGACGAAGAGTAAGTTGAACCGAGATTAAAGTTAATCTATATTGGTGGAAATGGGCATTAATTGGCCAAATATTTCGAAGCATTTTTTGATTGGTCAATTTTTGGAATTGTTTGTTCAACGCTTCTTTATTCACGACATAGCAGGAGTAACTTCGCCAGCGAAACTTCGCTCCATGAAAAGGTAAGAGGGCTTAGCGAAGCATTGAACGCTGGCTTCGTTGTCGGCGGAGTGGGGGATCTTCGCCAGCAAAGCTTCGCTGCATGAAATTGTATCTTTATGCAAGAGTGTGTGCTGCGGTCATTAAAGCTGCAGCACACACTTTTGCATAAGGCGTCGTCTACAATACACGGAGTAAGAAGTAAGAGTAAGAAATTGACCAATAGAATCAACTAATCAGAAGGTTTGTTCGCGTCGCATGCTCCATGTTCCAACATACTCCTACCATAGCTCCTACTCACTCTATCAAGCGCGTTGGAGTGAGTAGGAAAATCAACTAATCAGAAGGTTTGTTGGCGTCGCATGCTCCATGTTCCAACATACTCCTACCATATCTCCTACTCACTCTATCAAGCGCGTTGGAGTGAGTAGGAGCTACGGTAGGAGCATATTGGAACATATTGGAGCATGCGACGCGAACAAACCCAGAATCTTTCCTTTCCTGCCATTCTATAAAAAAGAAGAATTTTAATTGGTTGAGTCCTTTATGCATTATGCATTACCCCGGATCTACAATAAAGTTTTATGCTGGATTCACACTGCATCCGATGTGCGTCGTACGACGCTCTGCAACCAATCGGAAAACAGGACACCGAAGGATTTTACTTCGTATCATCGGAATCCTGTTTTCCGATTGGTTGCAGAGCATCGTACGACGCAAATCGGATGGAGTGTGAATCCAACATTAAGTCTTAAGCCATAAGAAATGGACGAATCATAATCGATTATTCACCTGGAATTCGACTGTAGTTGGTCAATTTCTTACGGCTTAAGGCTTAAAACACCTTTTGTAGATCCAGACTAACACAAACATACAGGAATACACAAAGTGGATTCAATTGGAACAGAATGTGTACGCTGTGCACGGTTGTACGGAAAGTCCGTGCGGATTTTTAAGCAAAATTCAAACGAAAAATTTTTATTGTTAAAAGTAATTTTATTCTGTAATATATGCACCATTATTTTGCACAATACTTTTCCATCTTTTGAGTAATTTCATAATTCCCCTTTCGTAGAAGTCCTGGGGTTTTTCGGCGAAGAAGTTGTCCAAGTAGTTTTTGAGGAGTTCCAAAGAAGCAAAGTTTAAACCATTAATTGAATTTTGTAGTGACCAAAATAAATGATAATCTGAGGGTGCAATGTCGGGGGAATATGGTGGATGAGGCAAAACATCCCAGCCAAACACCAATAATTTTTGTCGAGTCTGTAAACTTGTATGAGGTCTGGCGTTGTCATGATGAAAAACGACGCCTTTCCTATTGATCAATTCCGGACACTTTTTGGCGATTTCCACCTTCAATTTATCCAACTGTGAACAATACTTGTTCGAATGATGGTTTCGTTGTTCGGTAGTAGCTCATAGTACACTATCCCCTTCCAATTCCACCAAATGCAGAGCATTACCTTCTTTGGATGTAAGCCTGCCATCGAAGCGGTCGATGGCGGTTGACCTCGCTTGCTCCATGACCTTTTACGCTCGACATTATTATAAATTATCCACTTTTCGTTGCCTGTTATGATACGCTTCAAAAATGGATCGTATTTGTTGCGTTTGTATAGCAAATCGCTGATGGAAATGCGATCAATACGATTTTTTTCAGTTAAGTCGTGTGGCACCCAAACATCAAGCTTTTTTGTAATCTGGAGCTTATTTATATGTTCGGAAACAGCTGATTTGCCAATGTTTAACCTTGCTGCGATTTCCCGAACTGTGATTTGCCGATCGGAATCGATTAAAGCTGTAATTTGGTCGACATCGGTGGTGACTGGCCGGCCAGAGCGAGGAGCATCTTCAATATTCATTTCTCCTGAACGGAATTTAACAAACCACTTCTGGCACATGCGATCACTTACGGCATCTTCCTCGTATACGGCACATATTTTTTTCGAGTTTGTATCGCGTTCTTGCTTTTGCGGAAATAAAAAAGCATTATGCATCGAAAAAACACATTATTTCCTTCCATCTTTAAGCTGATTTCAAATAAACAGTTTTTAATTTATTGGGGTAATTAATATCACTAATTGTGCGTTGAAATGTCACTAATCAAAACACGAAAGCATCTGACACATCGCATCGACATAAACATATGATATTCGCCTTCGAGCGACATCTGTTGAGAAATTCGCACGAACTTTCCGGATAACCCATTTCGAGATAGAGTTAGATTAAATGTAGCTTTTTCCGCCTATATTAAACAAAAAAAATAAAAATGCTGACCACTCAACGTCTTCCAACCTCATTTAGGCCGGAATCAGACTATGCATTGAAAATCGAGATTAAAGATTAAAGATTGAATTTCACCAACAAAGAGAAAGAAATTTTGATTTCTTTCGTTCTGATTGATCTTTCAATCTTTCAATCTTCAATCTTATGCATAGTCTGATTCGGGAGGATCCCGTTTGCCTACAGTTCTGATTGTACACACCACTCACATCAACTGGTGCCTAGTAATTTTTTACTGTTTTGCCAATGAGATTATTTTATTTTTAAATTGGCCAATCAGCGATACATGTGTGCAATATGCGATGTGTGCAATCGGAACCTTCCCGTCTGATTCCGGCCTTATAGCCGCTGCAGTTAGTAACATGTAGTTGTCACTAGAAAACACAAAGGCTGCGTTCAGGAATTACGCCTAGATAACTCTAGGATGCAATGATAAATCACATAGCGTTTTCGGCCCGGCCAGGTTTGCATCAACCTGGTTGGATTAATGGTTTTGTGCTCTCCTATTGGTAGAGCGGGTGACGTCAACCAATAGGAAAGATTAATCCAACCTAGGTTGGTGCAAACCCGATCGGGCTAAAAACGCTAACAAATTAACAAAAAAATTAATAAGTTTTTACAGACTCCTT